CACACTAGGCTACCCTTTTCCGAAAGCTCCGCAGGACCACCTACCACTAGTCTTCGGCCGGAGGGGTTTATTGCACAAAAACGCCGGGACACAGGACCCGGAAAAGGGAAGCCCAACGAATTTCAGATGCAAAGCCCCGCACCTCATTAAGATCATATTGGCATACTCCCCCAAAAAAAAAAGAGCAGACCCCATTGAAGACGAGAGTGAGGATACAACAAGGCCATTTATGTCCCCCGCCCTTCTCACGGAGCCGTACGTGGACGTTACCGCTCATACAGCTCCCAGCCAGCAAGCAGTTAGCCTTCCCTCTTCAAGGAATGGAAGTGTGGAGGAATCGACATCAAAATAGAGCTATTGCACAAAGCACGAGATTTGGACCCGTGGTCATTATAGCGGTTCCTTCTGATCCTAGAAAACGTCCAATTTAAATCCCTACAAAGGCACCGAGAGCTCTAATGATGAGTAGAAAAAGAAAGTTGACCATAACAAACAAAGATGTGCCTTGTGCCTTTTTTTCGCCAGCCTAAAGAGGCTGCCGGGCTGTGCACTTCACTTCAGCCCGTCACATCAAGGTGACAGGATTCGAACCTATGGCCCTCTGTACCCAAAACAGATGCGCTGACCAGACTGCGCTACACCTCGTCTCACCACCCCGAAGCATATAGATCCACCCGATCGATGAACACTCAAACCGAACTCGCCCATCCAGGGATGCGAGAACCAATCCGAGTAATCCACCGCTTTTTTTTGAATATGCCGAGTCCACACCAAACCCTGACGCCAAAAAGCCGTATAGTGCAGGAGCGCTCACATTTTTTGGCTTACTCTTTCACTTTCATTTTCAAATCCCCGGCTACGTGTCCTTTGGACCCTTCGCCCGCTTAGAAGTGGATTCGAACCACTGACACAAGGATTTTCAGTCCCTTTGCTCTAACCAGCTGAGCTACCTGAACCACTTTCCTAAAGTCTGTTTTCTTCATCGAATAGCGCCCTACCTTACCACTTTACTAGTCAGGAAAAGCCCTTTACTAATCAAATTGAATAGATAGGCTTTTTCGCGCTAGCGCCTCTATTATAAAAGCGTTGCTTGTTCTTTCCCGCCTAATCCCCCACTCAAGAACCGAGAGCCGTCCAGGGACTGGACGAGCTTGCTTATAGAAAGAAGATAGGCCGATAAAAATCAAAACAAGGCGCAACGGGCTCTCCGCTCCTAGTCACTAAGAAGTGCTATTCTGTCCTCCGGGGGACTGGACTCCACCAAGAGGTTCTTTCTCTCACGTCATTTCGCCCGCCCGTTTCATTTCCGTGCCGGAGGAAATGGGATTCGAACCCATGATACAATCTTCTTGTATGTCGATTTAGCAAACCAATGCCTTAAGCCACTCAGCCATACCTCCAGTTTTTTATCGGAATGGAATTGGATGTGCCGGGTTTGGTTGCTTGCCCGAAGGGCTATCTGATCCGATCAACTACGTAAGCCGTAGCGCGCTAGCGCGCGTACTCTTCCTCTATGAGCGAGACTCTATCCAGATCTATGGATCTCCCCCAGCATCAAAGCGAGACTCCATCCAAATCTGCCACTCCTTGGGCGAGGCCTTCTTTTCTATGAATACCCCACCACTGAATGATTGACTTTCAAGTTCTCGCCTCCGACCCAACCAGGAGAGAACACAGGGTCAAGCCTATTCACTTCACAACAACAAAACAAGCAAGGGATTTAGCTAGCGTCTCAAGCCCTCTCCTTTCAGTCGAGTCACTTTGTACCTCTCGCTTTGCTCGATCCGCACGTTGCGCGTTAGCGCATCCGTTTTCTTGCTTGAACAACGAACATTTGATTCAATTCCTTACCGCTCCGTGGGCCTGAGATGAGAGGGAAGGTCTATTTTACTCGAATCCTGGACCTTATCTTTCATCCTACACCGGTAAATGGGATCAGTTTTTCTTTTTGAATCAATGCTGGCCCAAGTCGAGGCTCGTCCATGCCCAATCCCGATGGACAAACCTTCGATTTGCCCCTAGCTCTTTTTCCAAGAATTTTCCACTCCCGTCGAATGACCCGTCTTCCCCAGTCCCTTAAAGCCCTCCCGGGGGCCTAGCCCTCTTTCTCAACTCGAGTCTGAAGTTCAGCGGCTTTCATCGTTTACGAACACCTGCGCTAATAAGACAAATAAATGGGGAGTCTATGCTTTGAATGAATCAGTAACAACGGATTAGTGGAATGAGGGATCAAGAGACGGATAGGGAGGGAATGGCCTATAAATCATTGGTGGACCTTCCCTTTTTCCAGTCACGGAGCTCTCAACTGAGTTGTTTAGGTTATGGAATTCCATCTCTAGTTGGGATTCGATAAAATGTGGTGCGGTTTCATCTCTCTCGACCAGTTCAGGTTCAAGGTGAAAAAAGGGGGAGAGAGGTACGAAGTGACTCGACTGATAAGGAGAGGGGACCCAGACTTGAGGATCTCTATGGCGGGAGGTTTATTTCGTATCAAGAGTGTGTTGGGGAGGCCTTTCAAGATGGATTGGATCGAGAGGCGATGCTTATGCCTCTTCTTTATCGATAGGATTCCCATCATTGAAAGTATACGGCGAAGGAGACAAGGGCGAGGCACCGAACATGTTCTACCCTAAACCTCCATCCGTCATTAGTCATCTCAATTCGCTTTTCCTATTCACTAGTACACTGCGCGCTACAACTAGCAGCCCCTTTACTAGTCAGGGGAAAAACGCTAGCTAGCTACAACTAGTTAGAACCCCAACTTGATGGGGTATTTGAAGAAGCCTGCTGAAAAACATAAGCGCGCTAGCGCGCAACGGCTGATGAAAAGCCAGCATACTTGTTAGGAGTCAGTTTTTGGCTTGCCCCTTTATTCTTATTAGTCAGATAGGTTTGGAACCTTATACAAACAAGGTGCTGCTCGCCCCTATCTCTAAAGTGGCTTATGCACTCCACTTGTTACCACTAAACGACGAAGCCAGGAGCGGAAGGAGGGACTTGAACCCTCAACCTCAGCCTTGGCAAGGCTATGCTCTACCATTAAGCTATTTCCGCCAGCGGGGCAACATCAAGCAGCGAAGCACTACTGAGCAATTAACGTATCACTTGATACGGACGACTTCTGTTTTTCCGCCGGACCACAGTCTTGACCCTCCGATCGAGCTACGAACACGAGTAGATAGGCGGTTAGGGGCCTTCAATCAATCTCCGGCCGCTCAGTGCCGCTATTGGTGCGAGTTGTAAGGAGTCTTGGTCTCGAGTCAAGCTGGGGTTTCATTCTCGTAACGGGAATGAGTGCACCGCAAGACCAGACAAGTTGCTCCCTCGCCTCGCAGCGGCGGCATCTGTCTTTTAAGTGAAGTCATTTCCTAAGACGGCTCTCCCTCTTATTCTACGATAATCCAAGCCTCACGAACTTCTTACTGGGGCAGCAAGAAAACTCCTGCGCGAACAAGCTTAGGAAAGAATCTATTTCAGAGTCTCAATTAGCTGTTGCTTGTTCCTGCGAAACTTCCTCTGAAGCTGATAAAGCTGCTGATCACTTCCGAACGGATCTTGCTGACTCTATGAAATCGGAGAATTATGATGCTGTCTCACATAAACTCCTCCACAGTTCCCCCCATAAGAGGAGACAAGGGAACCTAATGTTCCACCCAGGCAAAAGTACTGAGAACATTTCTTTAGCAAAGAATGAAAAAGATTGAGCTAGCACGTCAGACTTGCCTGTCTACTCTCAGGAAGGCGGTATTCTAACATTTTTGACGAACTTTGACTCTTCCTACGAGCTTTAGTAGTTTGAACCTGATCTCTCAAAAAGAGAGGAAGCCAGAATTCAATAAGTTACTACTATCTATGACTGGCCAGCAGGCGCTACTATATGTATAGAAAAAGGAAGAAGGCATCTCATTGATTCTTTCAACCCTAAGAAAGATTAAGGCGGGATGTCAGCAGAGTCAGGAAGGGATAGGAAGATCAATTTGTCCCTGAAGCGTATTCTTCCGAAACTCTTCTTCTTATAGTTTATGTGATGGAAGGTCATTCGGCTATAGCAACTAAACAAGCAGCTCAGCAAGCGGTTTAATAAATAAGATCATTGCTTGAAGAGTTCAATTGCTACAACCAACTCGAAAGGCCTTTGACTGACTTACCTTATCGGGGAACTTCTCTTGAGTGCGTTAGACTTCGTATCCATGGAAGGAAACCTTCTCTCTCTGGCGATGATCTCTTGGACCACGCCTCCCGGTCTCATTGAACTTTATTTCGGCAATGATGAAGATCTCTTTGTTTTTGAGGTCGACGAAGATTTGCATTCCATTAGGAGTTCAAACAGACTATTGACAGATCGGAGAATAGAAGAATAGGTAACAAGTAACAAGTTGAAAAACAGACTATCCGGCCCAAAAAGGATTGGTAGAGTCGCCCATAACTAGAACTCTCGAAGAACCGGAAAGAGGAAAGATCTAGAATAGCCTGTTGTTATTCCATCTTCGAGTCGAAGTCCGGATAGACTCCCCTCGGCTAAGAGACTTATCTGTCACTTCTATTTCTTAATTGAATTGGCCAGCGGTTCGCCTTATCGGTAGAAGGAGGTTCCCTTGCCGTTCGTGTTTCAACATTCATCAAGATTCCACGTTGTGTCAATGTTGAGTATTATAGGGAGACGTTCAAGGATAACAGGAGTAGTTGTTACGTGTACAAAGGTGTGAGGTGCCACGCTTCCAGCCCTCATGGAAAGCAAGGAAGGCTTAATGGCAAGGTAGGGAAAGGCGGGTTGAGGCCGGATGTAGTCTTCCCATCGCTCCAGCGTTAGATCGCTGTTAGTGCTGCACCATGATGTTGTCGGAAGGGCTACTAGAGAGGAAGACTCCTTTGGCTATAAACCTTAAAAAGCATTGGATTGGTCAGCAGGGCTAAAAACCTTGAATTGGAAGGTCGACTGGCTTTTCTAATCTATGCCCACTATCAGAGTCAGCAACCTTTGAGAATAAGGAGTCCCGAAC